CCGGTGCGGCGTTGTGTAGCGGCTCTCTCACCCCAGGACTGCTGTTGTCTTCACAGAGGCTCCCGGGAAGTCACCCAGCGCCCTGGGAGGTGGCCCACGGCCGGGCGCTTCGGGCCTCGGATTGACAGCGGATCACGGGAAGAAACGGGATTATTATGACCCTCTTGCGAGGAGCTATGCTGCCCGCCATGAGCAGGAAAAAAGGCCAGAAATACCTCGTTTGGTTGCTGCGTGGTGCCGCGAGTTTCTAGCTTGTTTTTTTTTTTTTTTAATTTTATTTTTCCTACAGTTGCTTGGAGTCTCTGAGCTGCATTGGATAACTGCCTTTCCCGTCCGATTGACTCTGCTTTTCAGAGAATATTTTATCTCTTTTTTTTTTTTTTTTTAGGGAGGGGGAAAACAGGAAAATTTCTCTGGTCTTCTATACTTGTTTGCATTTTACGCGACTGAACGGTTTCTCAGAGTAATGGCCGCGCTCAGAATCACTGCCTGATGCTCCGGAGAGATGAATCGCAGCTGAAAGTTTCCCTTCCACCTTTGGATGAATCTCTGGAGTTTAAATTGTAGGAAGGAAGGGGGGAAAAAAACACGATGAAAGAGAAGTCCAAAAATGCTGCCCGGACTAGACGGGAGAAGGAAAACAGTGAATTTTATGAACTGGCGAAATTACTACCCCTGCCCTCTGCTATCACCTCTCAGCTGGACAAAGCATCCATAATCAGACTCACCACCAGCTATTTAAAAATGAGGGTGGTTTTTCCAGAAGGTAGGTGGCAATGCCAATTCGCCTCTATTTCCATTCTGATCCAGGTGTCGGTTGTCGCTTTTAATTTTTTTTTTTTTTTTTTTAAGAAAAAAGAAAGGGGAAAAAAAGTAAGTTGCATGAGGTGGTGTGCTCGGAGGCAGGGTGCGCTCCGCTGTCACTTTTTCTCTGTCGTAAATACTTTCCTTTCAGTTCCTGTGACAGGTTTGGTTGGGGACTTACGGGGCTTTTGTCAACACTCGAAGGCACTGAGCTCTGCTGCGTGTTCTGCTAAAGCAAACACGCGTTTTCTTTTCCCCTGGTCTCCCAGTAAGATGCGCGTCCCCCGCCAAGCACGTGCGTGGCGAATAGAGGGGACGATTCCCCCCTATTTATAGCCATACTATGGGGGGGAGTTAATATATGGGTAAATATTTACATAAGTCTATGCAAAGTCCTAAAGCCTTAGTTCGTGTATGGAGCAAAGGTGCGGTTCACAGGTACAGCACAGGCGTGCTCTCACACACACAGGCAGCCTAAATAGATAAACCAAACACACCGAATGGCATCACGAATGTGATGTGTCTCGCTATGAGGATCATTAGGGCAGTTTGAGGGCGTTAATCGACCTCGGAAGTTTTTAACAGGAGTTTTGTACTCGGACATATTCGACACCACCACCACCACCCCCC